TTTTCATAGTATTCCAAGCAACAGGCGTACCGCTGGGTATTCAGGTATTGACACACGAAAAGTCTCCAACGCACCGACGATTCATGAGGAGTCACCATCACACAGCGCAAGAAACAAACTTAATTTTATCATGACACACTGCTGTTCCCAAACAACGTGTGGCCATTTTGTCTCCACCACGCGACGCCACGCCACGACTGCCCATAGTCAAACCGACTGCCAATAACGACTGCAGGCGCTTTTTGAGCCTCTTTTGTTTCCCTCACGTTATTTGCAGTTTTAAAATGGTAGCTTGCCAGTCTTGTTATCAGCTGTTCGACGCAATTTAATTATAATTTTTTTTTGTACTGTGTCACGACGACTCTTCGAGAACGATCTGTGCGTTGGAGACTTTTCGTGTGTCAATTCTAGAGTACCCAGTGGAACGCCTGTTGCTTGGAATACTGTGAAAATCATACAAGTTTATGAACACCAAGTCACCTTCATAATGTGTCTGCCACTACAGAAAGCAATGTTTTGGTTTGCTTTCAACATTGGATACCATCAGAAGCTGTCACCCTGTCCAAAAATTGATTCAGAGGGGCTGCCCAGAGTACCTAGTAAGGTTTAGTACATTTTAAACAAAAGACTGGGTATGAAGTGATGGTGGCTTTGAACTAAAATTTGAAACCAGTCTATGTGAGAGTGGAGTTGGGCGGAAATGATTTGAACCTACCAACATGCTGGTGATAAGTTTCACCACTCAGTTTTTATGTAAGCCATGAAGACTGCTGTTCTCGTGAACGGTTTCTCTGATGAGTCTAGCCTTTGCCGCCCAATTTGATTACAATTGTCTCGTCAAAATGAGCATTGCATTTGTCTTGTTGAAAGAAACGTGACTGCTTTCCAGCTGGCTAGTGTCACGCTTAAATTAATATGACAAATGAACCAAGTCTGTCACGCTCCTTTGAGCGTGACTTGTCACGTTTAAAGGAACGTGACAGTTTTTACATTCAAAGGAACGTGACGTCACATTCATTGAATAACAGTGAAGTACTGAGAATCAGCTTAGTATTATGTACTGCACGGCATTTCTTAGAAGGAAGTTGGGAGTGTAGTCAAAATTTTGCGAAGTCGTTTGCCGCTTGAAAAAGCCTTCACCTAAAAAAGATGGGTTTTCGCCCTTGGAGCACCTTGGCGGCAGAGAGACCTCGCATGTGGGCGTTCGCATCTTCGCTTCGTGAATGGAGGAGCCTGCGTGCTCGAAAAAGCGGGAGGGGACGTTTAGATCGTTAAATTTTTAAACCGATCGATCGAAGGCGTTCTGGAATGGGCTCGCCGAAACCCACTCTGTAACAATGACACATTGCACTAACCGAACGAATTATTTCTTCCTATTAAAAACTATTTACAAGTACACTGTAAAAAGTATGTTGTGAATTTACGACGGAATATTTTCCGAAGGGTTTTTGGGAATGTCCAAAGGTGCACTGTGAATGTTTCTTTCCTACAGGGACTTTTGTAAATCAACGTAGGTTCGTCGTTAATTTACGAAGGTTCTTTGTAAATTTACGAAGAAAAATCGTAAATTTACAAAATCTGTTGCAAATTTACGAAGGGCTTCGTTAATTTACGACGGGCTTCGTTAATCTACGACGGGTCTTTGTAAATCTACGACGGGTCTTCATAAATCTACGGCGGACCTTCGTAAATAAACGAAGGAAGTGTTGGCAATTTTTTTGCCGAAGGATCCGTCGTTAATTCCAGACGTATAATTACGAAGAATCTCTGTATATTAACGAAGGTTCTTTGTTTATAAACGAAGGTTCCCTGTAAATTTACGAAGGATCTTTGTAGATTTACGAAGGTGCTTCGTAAATTTTCATTGTGATTGGAAAATCGGCAGAGATCTTTCAAAAAATTAACGAAGGTTTTTGTAAATATACGAAGAGCTTCGTAAATTAATGAAGGACCCGTCGTTTATTCCGGATATTAATTTTTACAGTGTAGTTTGTACCTTGCTCATGCTCTAAATACTTCGTAAAGTCTTAAGCGTGTTGCCACTTCCCAATAGAGCAACTATCACTGGCGCAAAGTGGTTTTGATACCCTGAACCACTTCCCGGCTCCTTTGGGGATGAGAGGTAATTCTATTCGCTGTGCCGAGACAGCTTCCCGGAGTGTGTCCCTGTCCTTGGCGTCCTTCGCCCCTTCAGCTCGGACCCGGTCCACTGGATTTCCTACTGGAGCCAGCTGCGCCTGGTCTTGCCTGGCTGCACCGGTGTGGCACACACACTAACACACACACAGAGGCGCGTGTCGAAAGTAATTGAATCCCCTGCGGACAGCCTCCGTCGTAAACTCAAAACGTTCGAGAGGCGTCGGCAGACGCAGCATTACGTGTCCGACTCTCCCCTCTCAAGACCCTTTTCCTTCACTTACCTGTAGTTCCTCCCCCCTCCCCATCCGGCTCAAAAGGGTGTCCCCGTCTGAAGGTCAGGGCCAGGTGCGAGTTATTGCCGAACCCGAGCAAACACCGACGCCAAGAAGGGGTGGGTGCGCCATGGTTCGTCCCGCGATGGAGTGGGCACCGCTGCTTGAAAATTCGGAACGTTGTGCCAGCAAGACGGTCACTTACACTCCCAATTTCTTACTGAGAAATGCCGAGCAGTCATAACACTGCTAATTAGCTAATTTTCAGTACTTTACGGCACAAATCTGTCATAATACAGGGAAATTTGCTCGTGATATGAAGAAAGTGGTCATGTAAATTACTGAGGACTCTTCACCATACCTTCGCTGCGCAGTCAAAATGCTAAGCTTTTAGTTCGTATTACGAAATTAACATAAATGCATTTATTAATGTTGATTACATCACAAATAATAGATGACGACACCAACACATCCTTTCCTTACAGGAGGTCGTCCAAAAGTAGTGTTCGAAAATTCCCGGGAACAATCATTCAGGGGAATATTCCCGAGACTTCCCGGGAATTCCCGGGAATATTCCCACTTGGTCGGGAACATTGCTTCATATGAAACCCATCACTTTTGATAAAAGTTAAATTTTTTAATACGAAATTTTTTGATAGAAAACTAATTTTTGATTACAAAACGTTTTGTTTTGTTCCCTTCTGAAAGAAAAATGGAAATACACTCATGTGTTTCATAATTTTTACTTGATACCTTGCGTGTTCTACATTTTTCCTGCAAAAAACCAGCTGTTTTTAGCCATTTTTTAAATTCCCGGGAATTTCCCATTTTTGGGGTTTGATTGTGCCCGGGAACGTTCCCGGGAATTCCCTAAATTCCCGGGAATATTCCTACCCTTTAGAACACTATCCAAAAGTACTGTGAGACACTTCACTTTGAAAACTTCGAGCAGAACCGTCGTCTAATTTTGGCAGTGCCCTGACCTGTGGGCGGAGAGGGGCTTCCAAAGGCCGCGGTCCAGCGGCGTCTCGTCCTTGAGGGTTCAGTGACCTCCCCTGTGGGTAGGCGAAAAAAGTAGTGCCCGACATTCCCGCGAATCGTTGGCATAGCGGACCGGCGTAGCGTTTTGCCCTTGTTTTCTTTACGACCGCCAAACTAATTTCGCCGCTCTGCTTCTTCAAGATTTACGGTTAAATTGCTGATGCCGGGGTAAATTCCTCCGGCGCGGGCAAAACCGCGGGGACCGTGTGCCTCGCCTCGCTCCATTGACGCCGGTCACTACAATCCGCCGGTGGAGCTGCTCCATCACCCCGCTCTGTCCCTCTCTCTCTCGCACTCATGGGGCGTCCCGCGGGGGCGCGAGAGAGACAGCGGTAGGGCACTGTTCGGAATCTGCGTGCCGCGCCGTGCCGCTCGCCCGGAACGCTGCGACTAATTGGAACCGCTTTTTACCTCGCACCTGCCACCCCGGCCGGCCCGCCTACGGTTTCACCCCCGCCTCTCTCTCTCTCTCTCTCTGTCTCTTTTTCTCTCTCTCTCGCTCGCACCAAGCCTTGCCATTCCACGTGGCCAGCCCCAGGAGCCTCCAGCCAAGAAAGGGAGGCACGGAAGCGAAAGCTGCAGTAACTTTGAGCGCGGAAAAAAAAGTGACCCGAAAGCTGAAGTGAAAGCAGGTGACACGTACACGGGTTTCCAACTCGGTGACAAAATCGGACGGCTTCAGGCACATTGCTACAGATTACCCGATATCAGATAACGTCTTAGAGACACAACTTTTTTAGCGCCAGTGACTAATTTCACTCCGGAAAGCCGAACACGGAAAAAAAAAATTAGTTGGATCAACGAATTTTTTCGTTGATTCCGTGACAACTCAAAAATTTTGCTGTCTCAACGAATCCGTTGCGTATCCATGACTACACGTCCTTTCAGTAGCAAGAAAGTATTGCAGTTTTTGAAGTAACAAGGCAAGTTACCCCAAACCTAAGAAGCCCTTTTTTAGTGCAACAAAAGCATCTTGATGGCTTTAGGGACGCTTAATTTGCAGTAGTACCACTAATTTCGAGTGCTACAACGATTTTTCTTGCTCTTCCAACCTTATTTTTTTATTTTGTTTCAACTATTTTATCATTCGCGCGAACTTGGTATTTCGATCAGAGAGCCATGCCGTTTTGCTGCCTAGAAGAGTCACGGCACCACTCCATACAGTTTCTATTCTTTTTGGTTCAGCAATCCATTCAATATTTGAAGTCAGTACCAGGAGAGTAATGAAGAGAGAGAGAAGTTTGTGTAAGAAATGTTTTATTACCATTCGAAATGAAGGAAAAATTATTTCCATAAACAATAAATTATGCAAGAAAGTATAATATATCACAGCAAATACAAAAATACATAGCACACTCAAATAAATGGCAAAAATAACATCAAGAAAAAAAGGAGAGCACTGTAAAGATGCACTCATTAGATTGCCAGTCAGGCTACAACAACATTTATCTAACAATAACAAATTATAACAAAACAAGAATCACAATGAACTGTCCTAGTTGAGAAGACTTAGAGAGTCAAACAGAGAATATCAAAAATACACTATTATCACAACCCATAACGGAGAGGAACATACATTTGACCCGAAACATCTCTATAGATAGAGAGGGGAAGTGGGTCATACAAGGTCTCTGGCTGCTTGCAGGCAAAAAACTCAGTAGAACTGACTGCAAATGCATGAACATGTTCATTGGGACCAATATTAAGCAAATATTTCACAAGAAATGATACAGTTTCATCTCTCACAAATATTGATAGAAGCTCTGCAAAAACAGGACCGTTTAAATTAACACTCACTAACAGAACCTGTCCAGGCTTATACACAGTGCCTTTGATTTCAACCCAAGAGACACAGAGAACAGATAGAGAATCAACAAAAGAATCCGGTAATGTTTTTTTGAACATTAGAAATCCTTCAATATCTGATAAATCAGTAATGTCTCCTGGGCCTATTTTCATTGAAGGCAAAATAGAATCACCACAGAGAAAGCGAAAACATTGAGCCAGTTGATGTCGCATACTGAGAGTAAAAGTGATTTGTACCCGAGAAGTAGTGGCATGGGCAGGTACAGTCAAGTCACGATGCTTACTCTCATACCTTTTAGTAGACATTGACTCAAAAGTTGAACTCATTTCAAAAGCTAATGCATAATGCAAAAGAAAATGCATTTTGGCTTTAAGAGTATCACCAGTAATAGTCACATACATAGTACAAAATTCTTTCACTAAAACCCTTAACTTAGCACCTGTATTGGAGGGAAGGGACTTAGCAAGACAAATATCCAAAATCTGGTTCAACTTCAAATGCAATTTCCAAAAAGGGTCATCTTCAGGAACCAGATCACCAACTATAAGGCCCAACAATCTTACAAACATTAGAGTTTCACTTCCTGACATATTAAGTTTTCGATTGGAACCAAATGAACTTGATATTGGAGGAATTTTGTTAGATTCATGACAACCATAATTAAAATCCCGAATTCTGTCATTTAAAGTCTCAATTGAAAAATATTTTGGTATACAGTGCTTCAACAAATGTAGAGCAACATAATGACAAATTCCTTCAGCCATATCATGAAAATGGTCCACTGAAAAATTTTTGGATACATGAAATGATGGAATTTTGTTGAAAACACATGGCTTAGTAACACCTGTGGAAGAGGGGTCACCAATAGCAACATCTTCATTATAAGAAGTTTCAGTTCTTAACAGAGAAGCATCTTCAACACATTGGGTTTCAGTAACAGACTTGTTGCATTTACAAAATCTGCAGAAGAACCCACCACTAAAACAATCAATAATGCCACAAAGGTCATTAAGTCCCTTGTTATCTCCTAGGAGCAGACTTGTAACAAAATAAACTTTTTTATCACCATCCTTGGTAGACACTATAATGCCATCTTTTTCCAAAGAAATTAACATTGATATCAAAGGACCAAAAAGTTTATCATGAGAAAACAACTTTTTATAAGAACTCTTAAATAGAAGTGCCAGAAAAATATTATCCAAAGATGATTGACACTCAGGGGGGAGGCTTGGTGATGACACATACACAGCTTCAAGAGGTGTTTTGTGTGACCCTAGAGCATTGTTGGATTCAACACTATCACAGTAAACATTGATTGGAAATACAATATCTTCTGCCTTATACCTTGAACGTTTCTCCTTCCACAATTTACATTGCATGAAATTCTCTTTCTTAGCATCACTTTCTAAACTTAATGAGTTCATGTAATCGAGCATAGTTTGAAAACAATCAGGCAACTCAAGAAATTTTTTTAGAACAATTTTCAAAGGGATACTATGAACATAATAAGACTTATAACATAATTTTTTACCACATTTAGTTGATTTAGATGAACTCAGAACACCTATCTTGTGCGAAACAGGTGGCACATAAGAACCAAGCTTCATAAAATGCTGAATTCGACGGTACTCAGTGGACAAGTGAGAGAATGCATTAACAGTCAAGTCAAAACTGTTTGCAATATGATCAACTTTATCTGAAGGTGCTTGGCATTCCTGCAAAGTATCAATAACCAAATTCTTAAGTTCAGATTGAAAAATTGATACAAAAGATGATACACCTTTGACAATACTTTGCACATAACTTCTAGGAAGTTTGGGTTTGGCATAAAGTTGGGCTACAAACTTATCAGCACTGGCTTTGAGAACATGGTTTAATGTAACAATATTTATAGGAGTGTCAGAATTAGTTACAACCACCTCTGGCTCTGGAGGGGTAAAAACAGAAGAAATGTTTTCATCTACATCTATAGATGTAATAGAAGTAGCAGAGTCAACAGGTTTACTTACTTTGCCATAACATACTGTTACATGGGAACTATAAGAATTATATTTAGAAAATATACGTCCACAGTTTTCAACTTTACATACAAACATTGAATACAGATTGGTCTTATGGTCATTTTGAACGTGAAACTTCAAAGTGGGCAGGGTGTGCACCACTTTAGGACATACAGGACATATCAAAGACATGTTTACGAAGAGCAACGTTTAAAGCTTTTAAAGTGAGAAGCTAAAAATGATTTAAGGCCCCTGCAGCCTTTGTAATCATCAGAAGATTCATGAGAATATACACAATGTTGGATGTACAGCCAAATGTGCCTTGATTCCACAGGATAGCCAGCTCTCAGAACGAAGAAAAGCTTGAAACATACATCCACTGCTTTCAGAGGTGGTGACACTGGCCAGCGAAGGTCATCAAGCATGACAAAACTCTGTCGAATGTTGTGTGGAGAACCAACAAGAAGGACGAATGGTTGTAGTGTATGACCATACTTGTTCAGAACGTTTCGCCTGCTGCTCACAATCTCCTTGATATTCTTAATGTCCTACAACACAAATTAAGAAAACATTTGGAGTTTAGCTGGAGTACTACAATGTGTATCCCAAAATGAGAATACACACTAGTAAAACCTTAAGATAAAAACTATACTTACATCAACACGGAGAACAAAGCTAAGCTGCACTTCTTTCCTTGATGGTTTCCAGATACCTACAGACTTTGACTTTGGTCTCTCCCCCTCAGGCTTTGGCATTACTCTAGGTTTAAATATAAATGCAAGATGTTCTAGAACTGTAACAGTTCTCTCATCTGCAAAACAACACATCATGATTAGAATTCACACACAATAACAAACATATTGCAGGTAAATTTTACTTTACCAGAACAAATAAAAGAAAACTTCTTACCATTTGTTTGAAACTCTGCAGGAAACTCCAAGTCCTTGACCTTACGAAGTTCAGACTCAATGAATGATATAAATTTAGGCCAATCAGTGTCGCACTTTCTTTGAAAGTCTGGATAGCGAATATTGGAGTCAAGTAGAAGCTGCAGAAGTAACACACATTTCTATTAATACACCTTGACACACAACAAATTATCACATAAAATTCAGTACAACATAGTAGATACATACAAGCTCCCAGCCATGTTCCAGCTCCAATGCAGGAAACAGCTTTGTGTAGGCATAGAGCCCTCTCTTCATGTACTTCTGACGTTGATCAATTGAAAGCTCCCACTTTGAAAGAACTTCAATCCAAGGAGTATCATTGGCAAACAACCACAAGATGTTTTCATCTTCTTCATCCTCCTCTTGAGGTAACTCTGGAAAAAAGAACAGACACAATAAATAAAAAAGTTATATCACTGAAAAAAGGAATGAAGCTTACTGAACATACCTAATCCTTCATCCTCCAAGATCTCATCTTCCAGAGTTGACCTTAAAATCCATCCAACTGTAGCATACTTGCGGCGAGTATTGTAAAATTTATGCCAAAGTCGTCCATCTACATATGTGCGCCCCTTTTCAGTCTGAAGGGAGTACCAGGTTGCCTAAAACACAAACATAACAATAGTTAGCAAACTTTCAAACAAAGCCCATTTGATAAATAAATCCTTAAGATATGCACCAAAGGTGAGAACGAATAAGTGCCATGAGACACTACTTTCATGCAAATAGCCTAAAATGCTCATGGAAGACAGCTAAAAATGGTTTCAAAACAATTGGCGAAACAAACACATCAGTGGATTTTGATGTGTACTTACATGTGTCTCAGTTGGGAAAAGTTCAACTATCATATCAGCTAGCTCTGAGTACCGTTGTCTAGAAATCCTGCAGAACAAAAGAAAACAAATAAGCCCACTAATTTCAGAGTTTTAGATGATTCAGTGTCTCCTAATGTAACACTAACCTCTGATTTTTGTCGTCCTGGAGTTCAGCAGTGATAATACGCTTTGACAAGTCATCCCTACTTGAGTCAGACAGCTCTCCATAGTAATTGTAATAAGCTAGCACCCACTCTCCTTCTCTCTTAGCTTTCAAAATTCTATGAACATACTGTAAACAAACATATCAAATGAGACCACAGAAAACATAAATCCAACACAGCATTTGAAAGAAGTGAAGAGTAAACTTACGTTTATAGAGGGCTCCTCCTCAGACACACTCAGAGGCTGAGCTGGTGGGTTGTGAACAGGAAGAGTAGCCTTCGCCTTTCCCTTTCGTGGCTTCTTTTGGGGCGGTTCACCGCTTGTGCTAGCACCAGCCTGAAAAAATAATTTGAAAGGTTAGAAGAGAGCTAATAACTCCATGATGCAAATGGTTAATATTATTTGAGTTTACTCACATTAACTTTAGAGAGAGGACCTGAACTCTTTGTTCCCGGTTCCTGATAACAAAGAAACAATGGATATTACAAACATAACCAATGACAGACTACACCCAACAAAACCGATTGATGAACTCACCTTCCACTTATCAAAGTGTTTCATGAACTGAGCCCGGTCAGCGACATTCGGCAACAACAATTTTATTGCAAGTTCGTTGAGTGCTCTGAACTGTTCAATGGAGATATCTTCATCTGCAAAAGAAATGCAATGTTAATAACCTAACTTCCCACCAACTGAGAACGCGAGCCTAACTTGGCTTGAAGGTTATGGTGGCACGCTGAAAGCATTGTAATCCAGCTCAAGATTTATTGGAAAAGTAAAGAGTTGGCCGGTAGCAGGCCAACAACAGTGCGCTCTAACCTCAACAAGTAGAACTGCGCCACTGAACGAGACAAACTAGATACAACCAAACCTGACCCAAAACGAAGCCAGTGAAGAAAGTGAACTAACCCCGAAATAAATCAAAAGAAAGCACGTCACACCTTGGTCGTTTAAAAATCCGAAAGACAGCGACTTTGCAATAACAGAACAGGCTCCAGCTGGTCCTGGCGTGAAACGTCCAAGTCCCGGCCCGGCCGCCCCACTGCCAACACTTCTCTTACCTATGAACCGCTGAATGGCAGCCGGGCTCATGCCCCAGCTGAGGAGCAGCGCCGGCACCGTCTCTTCTGCCATCGAGATAACAAACCACTGGGTTGACACGCAAACAGAAAAGAACTAGCAAATCCATCGTCACTGTCCTCTCTTTTAACACACCGGAAAAGCTGGAAGTACCGGCACGTCGATTTTTCATATCAGTGAACGGAAGTTTGCTGCGTACGGCACAAGGCTGTGTTCAAATGGCGCGTAAATTCGTTGCACGAATTGATGGGCACCTAAATACTGATACAAACTTTTGTTCGTTGAATCGTGATAAGAACCAGCTCGAAAAACAAAATGAATAGCTGATACAACAAATAGCGGTGTCTGTTGACACTGCGAGGTCAGACCATTCACAATAGAAAAATAAACCCGTTCACACAACGGGCCTCATTAGTTGTCTGAACGAATTCGTTTGGTTTGGAAAAACCTAGAAAACTGTGTCCAATTAACAATTTTTATTGGCTTCTCCACACAATTTTTTCGCACTCGTTACGAAATTTTCGTTAAATCAACCAAAAAATTGCGTTATCACGGAATCTACGAAAAACTTTGTTGTTACAGCAAATTTTTGGTTGTATTAACTTTTTTTTTTTTTCCGTGAAGGTCCGAAAATTATTTTTAGCAAGTGGTTCGATTAGCGAGCTTTTTTTTTCACATGTAATATTGATTGACTATCGGATAAACTGAGTAGCAGCAACAGATCCTGCATTATTGGGATTGCTTTCTTTTTGCCGCAAAAAAATAGATCCAAGATGATTTATTTGCAAGGCGCGAAGCAAAATCTTTCCATGAGACAGTCTAAGATTTTCATTGAACAAGCCTTCTCAACACGAAGAGATCGGATCACTTGCGCCAATCCCTTCAGTTTAAGGGGAAATTTCTGCGTAAGGCATGTAGATTTACACACTAAATGTTTAGGTAGAATTTTGTGCGTGAAACCCACACGATTTTGTGCATACGTGGAATATGCATAATATTATGCGTGAAAATGCACGAATTTATGCAAATTCACGCACAATTTTATGCACGACGGTACGCAGGTTTAAAATTATGCATCACCACGTACAAAATTGTACATAAACATTTAGTGTGTAGGAACGTTCAGCAAAGAAAAGCCTAGGGGAAACCCATCATCTCTCCTGTGCTGTTTCTGATATATGCGTGCCAGTCCGCCAGTAACCATATACCAACAGGGTGTTTTCCTCCCGCTCGCGAAGGCCAACAGGTACGCCGTTTGCTCCTATTCTGGAGGCCGCCATTAATATCCGCACTCTGAGAGGAACGGAAATTTGAGTATGCGAGCCTGCAGCTAGACGGCGAAAACGCATTACATTGCACCCGAAAAGATACCGTTGCCCTCATGCCTCCATGGAACAACTGCGCATTTTCCAGCAAACGTTTTCGAGCTTGTGGGCAGGGCCGAAGCGGGCTGCAAGAAGCAGTTTGGAAACGACTCTGCTGTTCGAACCAAGCGGTATTAGTTACTCTGGAGTTGCATATGCTCTGGAGGTGTTTCGAAGAAAATTAGCACTAGCAACAGACAGTTTGTTCGCATTGTACAGTGAAAGAAGATTAAAAAATTCCAATGCTAATCGCATTGCACGGTGTTCCCGTTTTCATAACTGGTTTAAAAGTGAGATATAAACAAATGTGTAGAAATTGTGGTTTGGCCTGAATTTAAACAGGTATTGTATTTAATTTAAGCGTGCTAATCGGAGTAGAGGCCTGAGGTAGGCTCTAAATGCAGGGCTGCTTTGTGGGCTCATTTTCAGCCTTGTTAAGCTCTAGAGAGGCAAAAACTTGGGCTTTGATTCGAAGTCACCGCCTGCTAACGGCTCAAAGAAGTCCGACTTTGTAAGGAGAATGCAAATAGGGCAGGCTCACATCTCGACAAGCGACGATCATCTGGGGATCAAAACGAGCGGGAACATTCAAGTAGTGTTCTCGTAATTAAGCATCGGGATGATTATTTTGTGACTTTAAATGGTGTTTTGTTGCTCAGAGGGAATACTAACGTTCGCAAGCACGCGTACAAGCTGCCTAGGAGCGTCAAAATTGCTTCAAAACAATGTCCCCTTAATGAAAGTGGGGCCCGCAGTAGCAGCGTCCGCTACCAAGGCGCCCATAACCTCCAACCACATCGCTTTTATTTTTTCATGCGAAACGTTTTTATAATTTCAGTGAATACGCATCCTAGGTAGGCGTTCATGCTAAGAAATACAAGGCAAGTGCATAAATTGATCCAAATGCCCGATAAACAGCAGAAAAGAAGTCAAAATTCAAGCTTCCCGCGAGAATGATCCCCAGATGGAAGGGAACGTTGTTGGTCCCATCACCGCTAGTGACTCGCAGAAGCTGTTGTGAGCCTGCCCTATAATTTGTACCTTAATGTTTTAAAATAAATGCACATGGTCACAGTTCAAGCCTCTAGCTTTAATCCAAGCCCAAACTTTTGCTCCTCTCAGCAACGATGGAGGGGCAGTTTCAATGAGCATGCGCTAAATTCAAACTAAGCAATAGAAAAGAGTTCTGTCAAACCTGATTCAGTTAACACTATGACCGTCTCATTCCATTTCGCGAGTTACAGTGCTCATGTTCGTTAAACGAAAGTCAGCGGCGTTTCGAAATCACCCTTTTCGAGTTTATAAAGTTTGTCAAACCAACCATCGTGGTGTTTTTACGTTGTGAGTAAGAACTGTTCTACAGAATCGAGAAAAGCATGACAAGACAACCGCAGCCTTTGAGAGCATGCCAAACAATCCAACCTCAGCAACAATGGAGGGGCAGTTTCAATGGGCGCCTGCTCGTTCTTTCAGCCTCGCGATTTTCGAAAGGGCGCAGACGGCAAGCAAATCGGTGCCAACCCACGAAAATTAATTTGATGCGTCGTTTCTGCTACGAACTTTTAACTAGTGACAGACTTTAAAGATGTTCCAACGTCGGGACACCGTGCAATGCGTTAGCATTGGCATTTTCGAATTTCACGGCGTTTTGATTTCTCTTTATCGGCGACTTTAAATTTTGACGGGTGGCACGATGGGACCATGCCGTTGCCATGGAGATTGTTTTTTCATGTTTTAACCATTTGCTCAGAACACAGACGATTTCTTGTTACTTTGATGAGGCAGGAGGTTTAGTTTTGAGGAGTGGCACATTTTTTATTTGAACCATTTTTTCATATTATGAACGGTTCTCGTTTTCGATTGTTGCAAATTTATGTTTTTCGCGTTTACTGAAAATTTCCACGATGAATTTTCGAAAAAATTTGGAATTTTCGTTTTTTTCATGGTTGAAATAGTTTAGCGTTGTTTATTTGAAAATCGAAGAGGGGGGGGGAAGGAATCCACGGACCTCGGACAATAGGGGTTCTTGGGAACCCCTAAAAATAAAACAAAAATATAACGCGTTTTTCTTGAAAGATGGCAGGAGAAAGTTAAGTATGATAGATCATCTTACAGTACGAGATGCTCCTATGTTGCGAAAATGCGAAGAACTATGTACGTACAGAAAGCCTAGGCGTTCCTCCGTAGGAAAGTGGGAGTGTGGATTAATCTCTAGTCATCTGCCCGTACTGGAACATCGTAAGAAAAGAACGTTCGTAAGACACGGCAGGCCCCTCTCCATCTTTTATCCCTTCATAATAACGCTGATGCTATTGGAGGATATGAGGCGCTGGATGATTGAGGGTGCCCGATGACGAATGAGGGCGGGGGGGGGGGGGGGGGGCAGGCCAGCAGCCTGCTTCGTCGCTCTGTCTCTCTCGCACTCATGGGGCGTCCCGGAGAGGTGCGAGAGAGACAGAGCGACGAAAGGGACTTGTGAGGCCGCTGGGGAAGGCCTGCAGTGGGTCATGCTGCCGCGTGTTGCTGTTTTCCGTGCGAGGGAGATGGGGAGAGGCTCCCCAGGGCCTTGCGGATTCCATCCATCGTGGCGTCGCAACGCGTCGCGCTTCGCGGCCGGCCGTCTGCTTAGTGGCGACAAGCGACGGATGTGACGGACCCCTGCCGGCTGCTCTCTCTCTCTCCCCTCTCTCTCTCTCTCTCTCTCTCTCTCTCTCTCTCTCTCTCTCTCTCTCTCTCTCTCTCTCATGGAGCGTCCCGTGTAGGTGTGAGAGAGACAGGCGAAGAGCCCTCTGCTCCGGACTCAACCCGCAGGCAGACCGTATTAGCCGTCAGCGCTCGCCAGTTTCGCATCAGTCATGCTTTCAGTGTGACAATCCGGTGTTACGACTCCCGCCGATCGAATAATTGTGTGTGGCGCAGTGGGCCAGAGGACCGGTGCACTGAGAAAACCTTACAAACTATTTTGGGCTTTACAAAGAAAAGTAGTTTGTATAACAAAGTATTTTGAGCATTCGTAAGCCTACAAAGAAAATACTTCGTAATTTACGAACTATTTCTTCGTATAACAAAGTATTTTAGTTTGTTATATGTATGCTCAAAATACTTCGTAAGGTTTTAAGAGTGTGGAGGCGTTGAGTCGCTAAAGGGGACTCAAACCGAACGTGTGATCCCACCAGTGCACAGTAAAATCTCTACGAAGAATCGCTTCGTATTACGAAGAAAATGAAGGCATTGTAAAATCTTCAAAGAAATGCTTCGTATTACGAAATTATGAAGCAAAATCCTTCGAAATACGAAACATTTCTTCATTATACGAAGCGATTCTACAATGCCTTTGTTTTCTTTGCAGTTATGAAGCAAATGCTTTGTAGGCTTTGATGAGTGTGGATTTGCTCTCCGAACGAGAAATCGAGAACGGGTCACTCGTTCGGTTCGAGTGCTGTTTAGCGACTCTGGAGCTCATAACGCGTCTGGGGCTTCTGGCTGCCTGCGCCGGTCTTCTGGCCCACTGTGCGCGGTTCGGCTCTGTGGCCAAGGGTCGGAATAATTTGCCAAGAATAGTTGGAAAGCCAGTAAGCACCCACCTGCCCTACATCAGCATGCGATTCATCGGCTCGGGCCGCATCGCCCTCCGAGCCGCTCCGCCCAGCGGCCTCCTGCCTCGCCAGGCTTCACGCCCCAACGGGCTTGTATCCTACACGGGGAAGAGTGTCCCGTAACACAGTGGAGGCAGCTCTGAATAAAACATCGGGCCACAGGTACTCCCCTCACTCCGCCTCTCCTTGAAGTCGGCCGGCGGCATGGCAAGAGGAAAAAGGATCAAGGAAATTTTTTGTAATACCATGAAGCTTCGAATACGCTTACACGGTGAAAATTTTGGCTGTCACTGGGGTCAGTGTGGGGAAAAGTTGGACAGGGGAAGAACTGAACTCCCCATATTTTACTTCAAATGCCGCATGCCCAGGCTTAACAATTGTCATGTAATGAACCGCTGATGCCACGGAACAACTTTTGATGGTTGATGCCTCTGCATACGGTATTTGAAGTTAAGTATGGGGCGCAGTTCTTCTCCTGACCAGTTCTTCCCCGCCCTGACCCCAGAAAGTAATTTGAAGGCTACTATAGGACACATACGAGTCCCATCCAGTCCAGAAGTTGTCAAAAATTTTAAGTGATTTGAATGTAAGTTGTGGCTCTCATTTTCATGAAACAGTTCACGTGG